TGGGGTGTGGGTGGTCGTCATGCGTCTGCTGGGATAGAATTAGGCTATCAGGCATATAATATGACATATATATACATGTACAGAACGTGAACTGTACATATCTGCATACATGTTTCCATCTGTAGCCTGACGAACAAAGAATAGATTGAAGCAAAAGCTACACGTCAGGAACAGAAGGGGGTTCTGCGTCTGAACCTACCTGCTGGGACTTTCCCATGGACCTGATCTTCACGTTTCTGCCGGAAAAAAGCAACCCGAACATGGGGAAAGCTGTTCCGAATCTCTTCAATCAGTGCGATAGGTTCGGGGAATGGGAGAATCACGAGGAGGTGTTCTTGCGGTGGAGCGTCGCCCATTTTTTTTCTTTTTTCTTTTTTCTTTTTCTTTTTCTTTTCTTTTCTTTTCTTTTTTTTTTCTTTTTTTTTTTTTTTGGTTACGAAGTTTCGATTCTCTTCTGCTGCTTTGTCTACTCTAACTCCGGTAGAGCTTCTTTTGAGATTGGAACTTCACTGAAATAATCTTTCTAGACTTTTTTGTAGGGGTCTAGTTCCTGTCCGCACCAGTCCGCTGAAAACGAAGTGTCTCCGGTATTGAGGGCATACACGGGTCAGGCAATTGTGTTTGTGCCCGAGCTGTCAATTCCAAAATGGAGGAATTGCTCTCGCTAGGAAGAGGAAGGCCTGCCGAAAGATATTAGCTTCTAGTGTCTACTTTCAGACCGGAGAAACAATACACAGCTGGGGAGTCTCCCTCGGTAGGGCTGAAGAACCGAGAAATAGGAGGGAACAAGGAATGGATCACAGGTCCCCCGTAGAAGATCCCTATTTGTTGCTTAACCCATGATTTTATGGGCCGAAGGGTGCTTTTTATACCCGTGGGCCTAGGCAACTTGCGATAATCGGAGGTTCCCAGTCTAGATTAGGGCAAGTTGATGCCCTTCACACGGTAGTTGCAGAGTTCACCCGCCGGGAAATCAAAGGGCGTGCGTGACATTCTAGCGGGTTAGTTACGACCCCAGCTCAACTAATCGTCAGAACAAGTTCGGTTAAAGCCCCAGAGGAAAGCAACCTCGTAGAATAACTATATGAGCAAGGGTCGATAAAGCTGGAGCAAGCTGCTTTCTAGAAATTGGATGGCAGCCGGTTAACTGCGGCATTGAAGGCAGCTATGAATGATCAAGACAGGGTGATGATGAGATGTTCTTGGAGCTGATAACCAACCTAACTGCTCCATAACTAGTCAGTCAGTTAACTAACTGACTAACTAATTTTTTACACCTCTGACCAATTTCTTATCATGAAATAAATGTAAACCCAATAACTAGGTCTTAGCGCTGTATATTTAGTTTGTTTCTGGCCTGGTCACTGAGGAGTTCTCTTCTTTTCCTCTCCCAGAGCATCAGACCATGAGAATAGGGAGGAATACTCCGGATTGGAGTACGACTTCACGCGGATGCCATTCAGTACAAATTCCTGTGGAGAGAACCAACCACGACAAAAGGGGTGTTAGAACGTTTTTGTGTGTATGGATAAGGTTCTGTATGGGTGGGCAGGCCAAGGAAACCTGATGGGGAACTGAAAACTAAAAATCAGGGGAGGAGGCTAAGGAGGATTGAGCTGATGAAGAGCGGATGGGACAAGATTGCTGGGAGAATTAAGAGGGAGACAATGTTACCAGATGCACTGTCAACTGGTTTGTTTCATTTCTGATAGATGCTCTGCTTTTTGTGTTCCCAAGGTATGAATAAGTAAAGGACATGCGATTGAAATAAGAAGGATGTAGGCTATAGTAAATAAATTGTATGTTTGAAAATGGATGATGAGGCAACAAAGCATGTAGCTAAAATCCTTGAACTATGTGAGTGCAACAGGGAGTAGCGCGAGATATAAAAGAAATTGTGGTAAGACCCCAAAGGATATTTTATGATTGTCTTCTTTCTCTTGATATGTATTTTAGAAACCATTCATTATATCTTTCCGGAACTTCGCCACACGTTTCTGGCTTCGTCCTCACAGAACATTTTCAACAGCCACCAACTCCTCGAAACCTTCAGCGTACTTGTTGATCTCGGGCTTTGTTGGTCTTGGAAGCGGTTTGCGCCCGTATCCGCCGTATCCAAAGTGAGACAGCAGGCCACTCTTAGTCCCAACGACTCCCCCCTGAATCGCTGCCCAATCCCCACGAGCCACTACTGCCTGTAGATTCTGCGCTTCAACAAACTTCCCGGCCTTGTAGAGCTCGATGATCTTCACGCATGCTTTGGGGGCAATGTTTGCCAACCCGCAGATTACCCCAGATCCGCCGCCAATGAGGGCCTGCATTGTGAAGTCTGCGGAACCGCCCATGCACATAAATCCCGAGCCTTCTTCCAACGGGTTGCTAGCTTTAGCTGCTGCCGCGATTCGATTCAGCTTCCCTGTGTTGCCACACGTGAGCTTACAACCAACGATATTTGGGTGCTTTGCCAGCTCTATGATCACATCAGAGTCGATGTCTATACCAGCGGCGGCGCCAGGAAAGTTGTAAATCAGGACTGGAATTGGAGACGCAGTCGCTACATCCGAAAAGAAGTCGATCGCGGACTGGGGTTTGTAAAGACTCTTGTAATATGCAGGCGGAAGAACCAGGACATAGTCACCCCCCGATGCTGCAGCCTCTTCGCATAATATGATAGTTTCTCGAGTAGATTGCGCGCCACACCCCACTATTATAGGAATGTGAGGAAATCCTGCCTCATTGAGTGCTTCACGTGTTGTTTTCGTTACCAAATGTCGCTCCTGGTGTGACAAATGGACTGCTTCACCGTTAGAGCCTTGAGTTGCTAACCCCGCAACACCGGCCCTGGCCATGCGGACTGCATGACTGGCAATGGTATCTGTGTCTAGGTCTTCGGATACTTCCTTGAAGAAAGCTACTGTTGGAACATAGATTCCGGGTTTCAATGGTCGCGGTCTGCGATCATAGTTTATGTCAACGGACGAGCTTGAAAAACTGTCACTGTACGCTGGCTTCGAGTGAATGCCGTTCGATGCACCTTGACGCCCTGCAGATTGGCCTGCCCAGTCATAGCTGGGGACGGGGGAAGGGGCGTTGTTATGAAGGGGCATGTGGTTTGAAATCGCCGGAAGTATGCTGTGATTTTGGTTGAGAAGGGATGCAAGATGTTGTGAAGGTCGCAGAACGCTGAAAGGGATAATTGAACAGAGCACTGCAGGTAAAAATGTCCCTTTCCTACAGAAACACAAAACACAGACAGGTTTCGAAGAGGTTGAAACTCGAACAGCCCGAAAAGAAGTATGGCGTTGAGGGTGGAGGGTATGGTATAACTTTGGTGATATCCTCAAGATATGTTGTAACAAAACATTCAATTGCCAAAATAATAGCTAAAAGTGACAAATAAATAGTTAGAATAGAAAGGAGGGAAATAATGATTTAAATATATATATATATATATATAAAATAAAAATCAATTCTGGGGAATATACTCTTCTTAAGTAAGAGTGGGACAGGAGACCTCATCGCACACCAACTAATGAGATACGACACAGTCGGGTTTCCACTCATCAACTGAAGAAAATGGCATTCTTCATTCCAGGGGATTCTCGGTAAAATAATTCTGCTTCCATAGGTCTTGGAGACGATTGAGATGGCGCTGGCGAAGTTGTCCAATTTTGCCGATCTAGCGGACGCTGTTGCATCCTACTTATGTCCGGCTGTGCTGGGTTCAATGACATTATTGGGAGGAATGCCCGCATCATTGACGATGAGGATAAATCAAGAAATACCGTCAGCCCAGCCGCGATTCATACAGAGGGAGATATCGGTCTGTCTGTTACTGTTCATGGGGGTGTTGAGAAACCAGCCATTGAGGGAAGAGAATCCGCGCGACGCAAGATGATCTACTTGAATTGGGATAACTAGTTATGAAAATCCTGTGTCTTCACATTGGACAATGATTCTTGAGAGTTCATGGAGCTTATTTTCCCGTGGCAGCGGCGTTGAAGTGGCGTGGCTGCTTGCGGTCGCGGACTGGCTCGTCAAAGCAGGACCAACCTTTTGGCGGCATACGGTATGAGCGTTGAACTTGGAGGCGTGGGGGAGTAACTAGACAATTGCGCTGGCTTGTGACAACCAGGGTGATCGGACTCTGCCGAGAATATTTGGCGCGGCTGCATACAACGTGGTGGGGTGTAGGAGTTGGGGTTGGGGTTGGGGTTGGGAGTAGTTAATTAGCTGTTAGGACGGCTGTATGACAGTCCCTCGCTATGGGTCCCCAGTTGGTGTCTCCACGCCAGGCGTTTCCACCTGGTTTCTCAGTAACTCCCTTGCAGCTAACTCAGTCTAACGTCTGGCGTTGGGCTGGAATGCTGCGATCGAAGACCATGGATGATTGATCCAAAGGACCACTGGTATGGCCTTTGAACATTTCAGGCCCCCGTGGAGACCCCCAAATTTTTACCCCATATTACAGACGTCAAGGCCCACATAACTAATTAGTTAGTTACCCCAGGTTAGTTAACTAGTTAGATGTTAGTTAACTAACTAACAAACCTACTCGGTACATAGTTAACTAATTATGTCCTTGGCCAACTTGGGAGTCGAGCAGTATACGTTTGGTTTGCTTCATCCACGAATGATTGTCTGGAACAATTGACGCCAGAACGTCAGTATATAAGCAGCAATTAGTTAGGGCAGAGATAAAGGAGGTGACTGAACGACCTGAATCACTAGTCCAGCTTGCTACTTCTTCGTGTATACAGCATCCCGTACATACACACGCAATATATCAGTATTCCGGGTGTGAATGCAATGTGTGCATTTCCCTTCTTTCAGCAAGCGTCCGGTTTTGCCTCGAGTATCATATAAGTGACATTAAGCTGATACAGCTGATCGCATATGGCTTTCATCTGCGAAATAAGCAAAGCTTGGAAGTCCATTATGTTTCTTGTTTTGGTAAAATGACCGCCCGCATGGGTTTGCATGCTTCTAAGGCAATTCCGATTGCCACATGTGTCACGTCTCTGAAAGGTTAACCGAGACTCGGTATCCTATGACAGATTACTCCGACCTCTTTTGGGAAGATCCAGCAGTCAATACGAGAATCCTGGTTTCGTCTGTATCCTGTATGCCACACCCTGCGCTCGCTTGGCCATGCGTAGAAAGAATGTCTGCTGATCTTAACGTCAGGTAGAGCGAAAGGAGGAGAGAAAAGCGTCACTTTGCTGGCTAGGTCCAAATTTTTGACCCCAACGTCTCGTCAAGTTTAGGGTGGGGGGGGGGGAACTGATTGCGATTCTAAATCCATCAACAAGGTCTGCTTTTAACTAATGTTGTGGCGCAGCAGCAGGGAGGTAAAAATGGTCATGCTCTCAACATTGATTAGAGTAGTCCTGAGTTGCGCCAATTGCGTTACGGGGCCCTTATAGCCTTGCTGGACTTGCCTTCATAGGTTGAGATAGAACAGGGCTCATACATGCGATGCGGCCTTCCAGGGACGAACATGGTGTCTCTTCCCATGAACGCTGGGAACTCTGACTTTTATCCCAGAACCCATCATCCCTCTCGCACATAATTTGACGACTACTAGAGTGATGAGGGACCTGGATCTTTGCAAATAACGACGACAGCTGGAGGCTGGGAGACATCAGTATCATAGGAAATCCTTGAAAATATGGGCTTCATGGTGGGAATAATCCATTGGTATTCGCCATCTCTCTCTCTCTCTCTCTCTCTCTTTGTGCCTTCTGACTCTGTCTGATTCCACATTAGATAAGACGCAAAAATTCCCGAGGTGCCCAGGACAGAAGAGCGACTTAGTCCTGGACATCCTTTCCGCGGCGGGTTTCTTGTGCTTAACCTGGCGTTGCCTAACTAATTTCACCCTGCTTGTTGGTCGACGTTGACGACTTGAATTTTTATAGCGTGGGGGTTAATGTGGATTTGACTGACTGCCCCTTGCTGAATATTAATATCAAAAATTTTAATGGGTTTCGGCCTTCAGGTCCGTAACTACTTGTTTGCCAAGCTGAAGTTCCAAGTTCCCACTTGCTCTGATGCAGTACAGCAACTTTCGAAGGTGACTACTCCGTACAGTGACCTCATAAAGGTAGATCGTGTATGTTCACACTGGAAATGCTTCAATCATATGAATCATATTTTCATTCCGGTCCCAATTTAAAAAGGAGGAGCAGAGTTTGTGCTGAAGATATAATCAGCTGCACTAACACCCAAATCCCGAACCCCTTTCCTCATCGATGCAAAGGGAAAAAAACACATCTGAATTGCTTAGATATTTTCCTATTCAAAAACATAGATAGACAGTTAAGGTAAAAAAAAAAAAAAAAAGAAAAGAAAAAGAAAAAGAAATCTACCCGAATATATATGTGACCTTGGGCCAGGGCTTTGCTTTCTTTGCAATCTTTATTCCTCCTTCTAGTTGTTTGGTTACTCCGCTCATCAATGAGTTCGTTCGTAACGCTCTCAAATCTCACATTTCGTCAGTCATTGGTTTCGAAAATGCCCATCTAGTAGGGTATTTGGAGGCGAGAGACAGGCACCGCTATTTTTCTCTACACTTGCATCTCGCTTGCCTGTCAACGAATGCGCCAGCCCCTTGTTTTGATCCTTCTGGCAATAATGATTAACCAAACGCTCATGGAATTGAGCCCAATGAGCGCTTAAGATAGTTAAGGAAGGGCTGCGGACGAATTTGTCAAAGATTAAAAAATGTTGTATATATTATTTTTTGGACAATTTGCATACGGTAGTTTACCTGGAGTCATAGCGAATTGTTGTTTCGATGACGTTTATATCAATTGTCGTCCAGACGTTGAGAAGATGTTTTAAAATCCTTTAGAGGACTCGAATCTCTGTTATTTCCCTGAGGCATGAAACGGCTTCAGGCTAAACGAAGAGAGCCATCATCTTCTCTCAAGAGGTATACTGTAGTTCACTTTAATAAATGCCATGGAACGGACAGAGTATGTACATTACGTGTGTACCAAACCCGTGATGCCTATAAGATTCAGGAAAATCCAGGGGAGAGGGGTAGACAAGTTTTTGAATTTATAATTCCTGTCGGGAGTATATGGTTTGATATCAATTTAAATGTTAACAAGATATTTCATTTGTTGAGTGCAGTATGAAATCATCAGCTGAAACCTCAATGAACCAGCTATTTCCAACAAATTAACAACAAAAAGACAATGCTAGTAAAAATAATAATAAGAGTGTTTGAATGGACAAACTATACAGTTGATGAATTTCAATATACCAAGTACCTTATATTTTGGGATATCAAAGTGATTCACCATGAAGCAAGTTAAGACATCATTATTTATAAAGTTGTATTTGCTCTAAAAAGCATTCTTCCTCTATCGAGTGATAGAAAGATCTCCTAAAATTTGGGAATGAAGAAGAATGAATATAATGAAAATAAAGAAACCCAGGAGAATGCATGAGACTTTAATTAGAGACTCCGCATCCCTTCCCTCTCAAATATTGTTTATTTTCCCCTCCCGTACGTACATTTTGGGCTCATACATTTGGTAGTGCGAACAGGATTGTGCACAAATTTGCTGAGCATGGGCACCACCTAGGTGCATCACCCGAAATGTGGCGGTGACTGAAGTTAAAACGAGAAGAGTCTGCTGCACTCCCTCAAATCGCTAATCATCGCCGGATAGATTCGAAAATGCGGGGTTAGGCGCAGATTAGACAAGTCTCTCAAGCGCGGGATGCATGCCTAAGAAAGCTCAGCTGAATTTCCCCCCTCCCAAAACTTGAAGTGATTCCCTGCTCTCGCAGTTGGATGAACTGTTCCTTCAACTGTGCCAACCCTGTTTCCTCAAAGTTTCTTCTAAGTCCAGGTCATCATCATCATCATTATTATTATTAATTCAAAGATTGGAAGCACTTCTCAACTTGTCGCAAGGCTCAAGCTCGGACCTCCTCTTCGTACCCAGTAACAAGATGGTTCATTCGAAAGGTTTCACCGATCGGTTGAGCGGGAGAGAAGTGCATACGCCCAATTGGTTATTGCACGCCGTTAGTATGTAGAGTATGCATGCGTCTCTTGTAACCAGATTGCTTGTGAAGTAGGACGTATGCGCCTGATCTTATGTTCGAACCGATCGATAACAGTATGCTCCCAAAGTGAACTCTAGAAAAACCACTTTTGAGGGCCTTGACAGAGTTAAAATGAACGACTGTAGGTCCGTGCCAAGTGGAGAATTTGCCAAGATATACCGCCTGCTCATAGCCTAGGTAACAGTCCTGGTTGGGGTCTGGGGCTTTCCGGGATTTGCAGGGCTAGATCGAAGCTTATCATTTGGAAAATGTTGGCACCATTTCTCCTAATTGAGCAGTTGGGCACATGTTTAGTAGATCAACATGTTTAAGCCTCTGCTCTGTGTTTCTTTAACCGAAGAAGCGCAGCAAGTGGGATATCATCTTCGTCATAAAATTCAACTTCCTCGTCAATCCCAAAATCCCGAAGCCTGTTCCCTTCCGAGTCTCTCCACGCCTCTTCACAACTATCGGAGTCGGCCCCACCTTCCGATCCACTCAAGTCGGGAGAATCCCATATCTCCACGTTTTGGATATATCGTTGGTGAAAGGGCCTTCGACGCTGAATCGCCGACCCAATCTGGCGGCGTCTGGCATCTTCCGTTTGGCGACGCTTGAAAGCATCAATCTCTTCATTTTGCGAAAGATACGGTTGTTCATAGGTAAACCCATTTTCAAAGTTGTTTTGAGCCTTCGGCTTATACATTCGATCTGGATCAGGGGGAGGCCATGACAATGTACTTTCTAGATGTATTGGTTAAATTGATGACATTTTATATGGGACAAAAACAACATCCTAGGACCGCTGAAGGCTAATTCAAGGTTTTACGCACCTTCAAATCCATTAACTTCAAATTCCAACCCTGAACCTCGACGTGGATTTGAAGCAAAGGGCCAAAACCAACTTATGACCTACGCGTGTATTTGGGTTAGCAACAGTATGCAGGTAGGTAGGTGATTTTGTATAATGATAAGAGAATGAATTGACGTTGGCGCTTCCTCCCATTCCCGACTTTATATTTTCCCAAATCCCAATATCATAGGGGAATTCCTGCTTCTGGATCCGCACCCTGATACCGTCAGGGCCGTCGAGATACCCCCCAAACACACGGGCTCGCCGAAGAAGCGTCTTATGCCTTTCAATCTCCCACACTTCGATTGTTGTCGTGTTTCCGCCCAGGCACCAGAGAGTTCGGACCAGGAGGATTATGAGCGCAAAGAGTACCACAGAATTCAGCACGACAAGCAGGAAAAGGTGGAATAGCTGTGGGAGGCTCGGCCCGTGATACTTTACAGGAGTGATTCAGTGGAGTGTCAAGACGCGACTTTGGACACTTGGGGGCACATTGTCCATTTAAAATGAGCACTCACACTTGGCATATGCCGGTTCCGCCAAACGACAGCAACTCGTGGGTAGAGGAGGCATTCAAGGTAGGTCATAGAAGCAACCGCATAGAACAGAAACCGAATAAAATGGGGGAGAGTAAAATGAGAAACGCAGTTTCCTGTCCATGGACAGTGGTGGTCCATTTTTGGTATGCATCTTTCCACGTAACGGTTAGCTTCGATAATGTTGATTGATCGGGATTGGCGAAGACATCACTGGACAAAATTCCTAACCGTCGGCAAGTCTTGCAGTGATGAGCCCGAGGAGGTTTGAAAGCATTACATCTTCGACACCACCGTTGACGATTGGATGAATATTGGGGACCACCTGATTCGGAGGCATAATTTTTAACGGGCGGCTGCCATCCATCAGGCACTCGCCCTGGATCCGTTGCACAGGCCCGATAATAACAGGTCCAGAGACAGGCAACCAGCAGGTTGAGTTTAATCAACTGGTTCTTGCTCGGAGCTGGCTCAGTGTATAGAAATAGATATTGAGACGAATAGGCGAGAAACACAATGAGTGCTGAGACTGCTGGAATGGCAAGCCGGGATACGCTGAAGGAGGCCATCGTCCTACGTTCATCTCGTTGTCCATCCCTCTAAACCTTTGATGGTTTCCCGAGGGAGCCGAGGGGCCGCCCGTTGCTCAGCGGGCGCCCCGCCGCACGTGACATAGCGAATTCGATGAGCTCCTCTCTTCAGGTTTATGAGATTGACCAGCCCGCAGGTTATGGCCTGAATACTTTTATTTTTGAAGAAGCCTCGCGATTTTTATATATATAGAAAAAACTGCATAGAACATTATCCTGTGCTTCAGTTAAAGAAAGCAATAGTTTTTCCATGCAGAGATAGCTTATTTTGATTTGCATAGCCTTACATTTTCAGATTAAACAAGGCCATTCAAAACAGTGATTATTCTATGAGCTTAAAAGAATTGAAGACAATTTCTACTTTTCATACAGAAGATCTCTAGAATTTTTACTCTTTTTTGTGTTTTATCATATAAGATACTCAATTCTTGTTGATGAGTGGATTGCCACTGACCTCTCAGTTGAAATGCAAGTAGTCACTCTGATCTAATTTCAAGGTCTCAACGGAATAGTTATTTCTCAGTGGCTAAAGCAGATAAAGTCTCCTGGGATCCCATGCCACCAGTCGGCGACTCTTTCGCGCCCATCCTTAAGCCAGGCGGCTCTGATATCCTATCCTCCTACACCGCGAGGCTGGGGATAGGCGCCTTGAGTTTCTTTTGTAGGCGCCCATTTGGCGGTCGGAGGGTCATCTTGCTAATGTTGCTCTAGATCAGCTCAGGCGACTTAAGGGAGAAGTTGGACATCAGGCTTGCCAGCAGGACCTCTCAGGAGAGAAAAAGTGAGCAGTCCCTTTTTCCAGAGCTTAAGGAGATCAACTACGGCTGAAGAAGCCGCGACAGTGCTAAATACAGGTTTCTATGGACGGGTTTGGCGGATAACCCTTTTTCTTCTTCCTTTGTTGTCTGAATGTTACTTCATTCTGGCTCTTTTATTGTGGCGTCTTACCACAGTATTTTGTCTCGCCAGTAGAATTGGCGAACATGAGTCTACAATGCAAGGTCTTTGACCATCGCATCTTCTTACTGCCCTCATTTTACATGAATAACTACTAACAAAAAGAAACACGGTGGGGAACTGAGGTACACCTAATTCATGTTGCCCTATTTTGTTTTTATAACCAGCGTCATCCCCCAAATCGTTTCATTGTACCTGCAAGTCTCACCAATAGTATGGGGATGGTTCCACCTCCCCATCTCCCTAAAGAACAGCCTTTAACAACATCCCATACCATACTTCTCAAGCCACCCAAGGATGATCCGATGAGGTCGCGTAACTAACCGGAGGAAAGGTCGCCGCAGTCTTGCCCAAGTATCTTGAGCTCACCCGCGAGTACGATTTGCCTTTCGACCTTCTGGTGTGAATGCCCATTCTGTATACTGTCCAAGCGCCCCTGTGTAGCTGCTCTAGTTATGACATTCCATCCCATTGCCCGCCTCAGATGACTGCATCCGGTTTGCTTGGATATGAAACCAAATACCCTTTGGCTTTTAAGTTATTATAAGACCGTTTAAGCGTTGCACCAATTCCCAATAGGCTGGAAAATATTTAACCACTACTCCCCCAATCAGTGATACCACTGACTCTCCTGTCACTAACCAGTATATTACTCCAATCCAAGTCGCCAAGTGTAAAACACATTTGGTTGGGACCGCAAGGCATCAATTCGCCTGAACGTATGCAGAGATGTGTTCGTTGCCAGAAAATTGTTTGATTCTGTCGCGATTGAAATCTGCCGCCTCTTTAAGACCAGATCGAAGAATGGCAGCTTCCAAGAAATACGAGACCGAACAGGATCGTATAAAGTACTAAGCTATGTTAATAACTACTTACGTCTTTTCTTCGGAATGTCGAATGCTTCTGCAGATATCTTCTCTTCCCCCCCCCCCCCCCCCCCCACGGCCCTTCCTAGAGCACCCGATGTAACATTATGCGCGAACCCCGGTGAATTTCCTCCGCCAACAAGGATGTAAAACTCGAACCCTGGAAATCCACACCTTCAACCCCCAGGGAAAGGCCAGTTAACCCCGAGAAACTGAGCTTAATAATAACGCCTCTGACTACGTTACCGCAACACGTCAAAATCTAGCAGTGGTAGCTCATCAATAACGGAACCTAATTTCTGAAAATGGGAAGGCGCCCAGTCATTGTACACACCCATTAGGAACTTGTAAGACGTCCATTTCTCTCTGCCATCAAGTGACGTGAAGTCGAACTTGTGAATGGGATGGCGGTAGAAGGTAGTCTTCTCTCCCTCGATCGCAGGGTAATGGCCGTAAAAGATTCTCACAGAGCAGCAATCATGTGAAACTGAAAAGACCAGGATTTGTTGATGCAGCTCCATCTTACGCTTCACAAGTCTGAAGAGCTTGACAACACCCCTCACTGAGAGAGTCATGCTGTGTGCATTCTGTCGATCTGCTATTTCAAGTGCCACACCTTCCCGCACTTCACTTCAGCTGTCATAAACGGGAAGTACATCTATACGCCGTACTCATAAAGAAAGAAGTATCACCGATTTCACCGACAAATGGTGCAAGGCATCTGAGTTGATGTTCAGTGAAGGCTTGTCGCGGGAAACCCAACACGTAGTCAGGCTGCGGCTGAAATAATTGAAATCGTCGAGATTGTGGAAGCTGGAGAGTATGCGCAGGTGGCTTTTGATCCTCACCAAGAGAAATTGAGCATTCCCAACCTTCATTCATACTGACAACCAGATGTGGGAATGTGACATGACCGAGGACAATTGCACTCTCAGCTGAGGGAACAATTGATACCATCCTTATGCCTTCATGTAACTACCTTTGGTCTCAAGATACACCTCATAATTCTTGCCAGTGTAAGGTCTACTCTTGGCATTCTTGTGAACTCAGTTCTCTCAGCGTGTTCAAACTAATGTTTAAATTTGTACGGCGCAGAGACGGGGTTTTTGGCCGTGCAAGAAAGTCTTCCATAGTATCAACTGTTAAAGGCCTTCTAGGCCACTTGGATTCATTGAGTGCCCAGTGCTCGATGAGCCTATTCTTATCATTTCGTGGCTGCTTTGAAAAATGATTAGGATGATCAGACGGATGTTCTAGAGAAACTTCGCTTTGGCATCATTCTGTGTTAGGAGAGCCACTCGCTGGATGTGCGGATAGCTCCGTTTGTATAGACTCCCGTTGGCAGATGCTTGTGCTTCTTCAGCAAGATCTGTGGATTGGTTCTTCCCGAATGCCCAGATGTCGTCTCACTTGAGATCATCAGAAGGACAAGGCTGCAAGAGACGAGATAGAAAAACACACCATCATCCTGGACCTCAGATGGGTTCCCCCCCCCCCCCCCCCCCCTCTTTCCCCTCTTTT